CAGCACAATCTGAGTTCGAACACAGCAGGCCAGGCATGTCATAGGATGAACCCGTCAAAAGTCAATTATCATCCCAGCGCAAACCTTCTACGGAACCGCACATGATTGCTTCCCACATTCATGTTCGATCTGTCTGCAAGGCCACTGCATGTGGAGTGGATTCATGGGCATAGACACTTTCCACACTCTGTCAGCCAAGGCGCAAGGTAAAAACAATTCGAAGAGCCTCGCAAGCAGGGACGTTCAACGTTGCGATTTCTGGTCCCACTGCCGCCAGGCTCAGGACACACGCCCTAGTCTGATGCAAGACCCTTAGCCTTCCTGTTCATTTTCCCACTTTCTCCTATTTATTCACCATCTGTTTCCTTTTTTGAAACTTAGGACCCCGATATTTTCCTACATTTCCCATGTCGTTTGTGTTGTGATTTTGGTAGAGCTAGCATAAGAGATGGACACAAAGCTGGGAGGACCTGCTCTGGCCCTCCACGAAAGCTGCTCTCTGTCTCTGCCTCTGTCTGTGGTCTCGCTGCACCGATCTGTACGCCAACAGCAGCTCTGAGCCAAGCTCAACAGCTGACTAGCAGCCGGCCTGCTCTGCCACTGCTGCATCAGGCGTGGCAAGGATGCTGGCAGAGATGTTGGGAAGCTTTGAGTGCTCGGGCTCAAGGCCATGGCTTTTCTTTCGCAGGGGATACTGCGTAGGAGTTCAGGCTCGGCCTGTGGAGGCTTCAATGCCATTGCCACTACAAGGCAGTCCTGGGCTATTCTTAGAACTTCAACCTGCCGACGTTCAAAGAAGCTCGTGCACCGGTACATATGCAACCCAGACCCTGAGCATCAAGAGCTCTGAGACCCTCAACCGAACACGCATCTGGGAGCTCCACGTCGGAAACAGTTGCAAGACCAAACCCAGACAGGGCAATCTCGATGAATGAAAACTTTGTATGGACGTGAACACAGGTACCAGCTGAAAGACATGTTCTGATTCTAAGCCTCATCCAACTCTCGATATGTGAACAGATGCCGCACAAAGAAAACAAGCTGGACGTTCAAGAGCTATCTATGTGAACACAACGCGTATGTGTATGTTGACTTCCTTGTGAAGGTGTTCTCAAGGATCCCACAAGACGTAACACTTGTTCGAGTGACATCAATGGAAGTCCGGTGATTGCAAGTACTACTGTTCTGAAAACCACATGTGGAAATGCCCCCCAAAGGATGCCTCTAGCAACCTAACACTCCCGCGGCAGGCTTTATCACGGCGACGGCGATTTGTCCGACATCCGTGAGCCTCAGCCACGCAACCCTGCACTCCCATTAACCCGAACCCGGTAGGTATGCTGAGCATGAACTGCGGATGTTGTGACAAGCAAATAGCCTAGAGCCCACCAATTGAGTCCAAAAGCTCCGGGTCATTCCCATTGCGCCCTATTTCTGATGCTACCGGGATGATTGGCTTCGGGGTCTTGTGGACTGTAGATCTGTAGATCCAAGACACAGCGCTGCGCAAGTATGGCATTTCTTCGGTAGGCGAAGGGCTTCTGGGCGAATGCTCAGCGTGCGAAAGTTTGCTTTGGTTCCAACTTCAGCATCTCGAACCCGTCAGTGAAGTCGGCAATTTAAAACCTGCACGGAGTCAGTCCTCTCGCTTCCCGGCAACAGACAAACTCCCCACCCGATCTTCAAGCCAGAACCCGATCTTTAAGCCTGAGCCGTGAATCTAACAACACAGACGACGTCCAACTTGCACAGGCACGGGCTCGCGGGGAGGCTTTGCCACCCAGTGCGAGCAAACCTCTGCAGTGCATGGATTTCTGTTGGCACTTTCACTGCTTGCCAGGACCCCGGTCATGATGTACAGCCACAAAAGTAGGTAGTAGCTGTGGTGGCAGTATTCGTGGTTGCAGCAGTAGAAGTGGTTCTCGTCGTCGTCGCCGTCGTCGTCGTCGTCGTCGTCGTCGTCGTAGTAGTAGTAGTAGTAGTAGTCGGTGTAAAGGGAATGGCGGTGGTAGTGGTAGTACAGATACTTGTACTGATGACGAGCTGTTACTTGTCCTCGGCTTCAAGGCATCATGCATTGCCCGCTGGCCACTGGAAATTTTTGAAACAGTGGGACCGAAATCTATCAGCATTGCTTTTCTGGAACGTGCGCCAAGCCGTGCTGTCTCAAGCTTGTCGTCGGGAAACATCCACATGTAAACCAATGAACTAAACACCCCAAAATTGGCAGACCTTAACCACGAGGGCCCCGCGTTGGCCACAGCGCCAAGCGCTGCCTCAGCCACGCGCCCCTCGCCCGAGGAGGAGGCCTCATGCACGAAGCGACTCGCTCGCAGCCCCGCTGCCTACACTCCACCTAGCTGTGCATGCTCTCCCGTTGCATCTGAGCCTGCAGGAGGATCTCCAAGCCTCGGAAACGTACCACCGCCTGGGCTGTGGCATCGTCCACGCACAGGTCCCATAGGGCCTCGCAGCACTTAAAGGGTTTAGGAAGTTAAGGGGCGTTGGCTTCGGAGAAACCTTCCAAGAAACAACAACACGAACTTTTTGGGTCAGGCTCCGAAGTTCCGGCCTCCGTGCTTTCGTTCGAGAGTTCCTAGTTCCGGGATTCGATGCCATGCATGGCGGCATGGGATCCAGCTTCCTTTCCGGGTATCCCAGTGGGCAAAGCTGTCTTCATTCAAAAGGTGATCGTGAAGCTACCGTGAGGGCATCACCTTCAAGATGGTGTAGCTGGCCTCCAGCTGGGATTCGAGCTCTGAGCTGACCTGGCCGAAAGCTGAAGCCGATTGGGTATCGAAGGATCTCATAAGGAGCGCCCCAGGATAGCTTGGCGAGATGTGTGGCATATACACATATGTATACACACATAGACGCACGCATTTTGCCATATTGATCTGTCGCGTACGTAGGGAGTTATAACAGTGCATATTCCAGGTATACAAGTTAAATCAGGTGAATATGGTGTCGAAGCCACTCCGTCCTTGACTTTACGCTGCTTCTTCACTGGGAGGCACGCGAGAAACTAGCGAAACCTCGCAGCCACAGAAACAGTCCTTGCATGTCAGATTGGAAGTTGCACAACCTAAACTGGCTTGCACCCGAACCTCCGAAGACAAAAGAAGCTCGCACGACACCATCTCACATCCTGGCTCAAGCCCCTGCCTCTTCCTTCTTGAGAATCTCCTGATCCACCAATTCGCGCAGAACCTTCTCCAACGGAGACTGAGCGTTGTGGCTGTCTGTGATGACTGTGATGGATTGCAGTACATTGCCTCACCTGTCCGAAAAAGCTGTACATGGCCGTGATCCGGTGAGAATCCTGTGAACCAAACCTACACCTACCTACACCTACCTCTCAAGTACCAGGCCATGAAACGTCTTGAAACAGGAGAGTCTGTGGGTTGGGGCACGCGATTTCGCCTGAGGCTCACACCTTGAGAATGAAGGCCTCTTCCACCTGGCAGGCACTGCCTGCGGCCTCCCAAGCTGCGGGTTCCAAGGCACTGAAGGCTACTACCTCTGGCAGAACAAGGCATGCAATACTGGGAGCTTTCAAAGACTGCCTTTGGTGACGGCGCAGCGATGTGCATCGTCCATGGAGGCTCTCTGGACAAATGTTCTATGAAGTCGTTTGTCCAATCGAAAGGCTTGCGAGAAGGGTTGCAGCTGCAACATCTAGCTCCACCAGCCCTTTTGTCGTTGGAGGGGTTTCTGGTGTTGAAAGCAGGCGGGTGTGTCGGTGTGTGTGGGGGTTGCGCAGCACTTTGTTGCTGCATGTTATGTTTGGAACATGCCGGCTAAAACAAGTTTGAAGGAAGGATGCGCCAAGAATCGACTCCACATACCTAGATGCCCCAGCCGCATGGCTACATGTCATATGGACCTGGATGATGACGATGTCCTAGAGCCGCAAAGTTTGCTTCTACTTAAACCGTGACCGGATGCCAGCCAGCCAGAGCCAGGCGAAACCACACGATTCCAGAAGTCTTGTCAACAGTGGGTCTGGCTTCAGTGGAACTGCAGTGCGACGATTTCGGCAACAGACTTAACTTGGAAGTTCACGACCAGGCCTGGTCATTCAGCATCTTCTGGTGGATACTTGGAGGTTCATGGGTAGTTATAAGTTGGGTTATAAGTCCCCTAATATGTGTTATAAGTAGAGTAACCCTACCTATAAATCTACTTGTAGCTGCCCATGAACCCCCAAGTAGCTACTTGGGAAGCCGAATGTAGTCCAGCGAACCACATGTTCATACTGCTCTTGGAGTCCTTTTTCCGGATAAGCCATGCAAGTCTGTCTACTAGGAGCATGCTCCATAGAAGCTGAAAAAGAATCTTGTCCTTCGATACCTGCGGTTTTGCATGTCACTTGACAGCTGAGCTGATACAGCTGGTTGGACCTAGGGAAAGGAGAAGCCATGCAAATCCGCGGCTGGGTTGGCTGCAAAGCTGTTCAGCAGAGCCAGCCCAATCAGTGCAAGTTTCAGAAATTCATGGTTTACTGTGAAGACATCAATCTATTCCCGGCCACTCTCGCTCTCTGTGGAGCTGAGCGTGGCGCAGCATGTCCAAAGACATTAAAAATCGCCTTCTCTTGTGCCTAACCCATGACAGGAGCATCAAAAGAGTCCCAGTGCCTCAGTCTGCGCAGCCAGGCCCAAACTGAAGGCATATCCTCAAAATGCGAGCTACCTGAGCGAAGGTATCAGTTTTTTGAGGCCTGCCTGCCGATCCAATCAGAAGGTGCCTGGTCCTGTACTGCTTGCCATGCCCCGTCGGCGAAGGTCTGTCGATCTGACAAGACCATGCCATGACGAGCTTGGCAGCTTCTCGACACAGACATCTGAGATTGGGATGCCATGTTTGCAAGTTGCAGACATGGCAGGTATCACCTGTTACTGTCAACATGCAAACCTGCTGATGCTACTTGGCCGCCCAGGTGGCGAGAAAGCCAGGCCTCCGGGCAGCTGCCTTGTCAAGGGCAAAGCCTGGTGAGCTCACTTCTCCTCCTCGTCCTTGGGTCGGTTCTTGAAGATCCTCGGATGAAAAGATCTGGAGATGCGGCTGTGCAGGTCTGCTCGAAGCTGAGCCTGTCGCGATATTATGAGTACTTTACAGTCAAACTATTGAGCCCTTCACTCCGGGTCCTTTGCTTCACAACGTAACATGCAGGAGCCAGTTTCATATTTTCAGGATTGGGAGCGTGTCAGGACATAGCCTGTGCAGCAAGTAGGCACGGTATTTAGTGTTGGACATGCATGCTCCGGACACAGTTTGACTCTCACGCAAGCTTGGAAGAACAGCAGCTGTTGAAAAGGAGAGCAACGGAGCCGCTGTGCAAATCTTGCTTAACCTCCCGGAAACGGCGACCCTTGAAATCGGACCGGTAACCGCACTTTCCCCCGGGGGTGGCAGCGAGCAAACCATCTGCAATAGTGTCAACATGCTACCACTAACGAGAAGAATACCAAGAGGGGAAGTAAATCTAGTGCGATAAACCACAGTCACACTATGAATCAGAAGGCAGTGGAGAATAGTAGTACTCAGAACCCGAGCCTCAAAGGTTGCACTGGGCAGTTTGGACAGCAGCACATATAAACCCTGTGGTGTTGCGACGAGTCCGAGTACAATTGTCATGATCGAAGCCACAGTCATGCTTATGATGGCATGCCCAGGACACAGATAATGACAAACTGCAGCTGTCAAAAGCAGAAAGTAAGGCTGACACTAGGTATGATGGGGTTCATAAGAAAGTGCACGGATTAACACTTTGAGGACTCAGCCAAGACTTGACATCAGCAGATATGAACGGATTGAACGGGACAGAAGCCTTGTTTGATCCATGCGTGCTGCATGAGTCGCTGGTCGAAGTACTTGGCGGTGTCCTCATCGCCATCCTTGCAGGAAGGCAGCAGAGAACATGGCACAGACCGGGTAGACAGCTGGGGCTTTATGCCCGGGTACCTCGCTGAAATGCATCTAGAGGCCAAACTAGTGACATGGTCACACTCGCTCTCGATGCTCTAGATATACCGGCCACCCGACGGAACTAGATTACCAATTACTCAAGCCCCTACATTCATCACTCGGAGGAGAAACCTGAGGACCTAAGGACAGCCGGAAGGCGCTCGGGGCGGTGTCAAAGATCTGGAATTCGGCAAGCTCGGTGATGGGACCTGTGCTGTGCTCTGCCCAAAACCTCTAGAATCCCTGAGGTCACAACTCTGAAGGCCTCCTTAGCATTGATTGCGGTAGATATAGGGGTCTCTGGGAGAGCGATGCATTTTTGTGCAGGAGTGCCCAGTGGACGAGTGACGAGCCACGACTCTGAATCGCTTCATCGCTTAAAGATCACTCGACTAGACACAGGGGTATGCCGTACAGCTTGTAGTTCAGTAACGGTCGGTAGCAAAACGCGCGCCGAGGGAGTACACTACGAAAGATAGAATATGGTGATTTAGAAGGACAGTTATCCGGTGGGTGTATCATTGGGGCAGCAAAAGCTATCAGAACTGGCGGTGGCATGGTTGAAACTGCTGATAATCTAGTGACCAGCAGAAGTCATCGATATTTGGCAACGAGTGTTTCAGTGCTGTTCTTTGTGATTACAATGCACGGCAGGGCATCAGCAGAACAGAAACGAATTAACGATTGATATTGGTTGCAGCACTCTCAGTTCTGACGCTATTGTGAGGACGTGTGCTCTCTGCCACTCTGGCCCGAAACGCCCGTACAACCCGGACAACATGGAACCATAGTAGTCAAACCCAGTAGTCAAACTTACTTAGAAGCCAAGTCCTCTGTCCGAGAGCTGCCAACTGCCTTCCTTTCTGCCGACTGGCCCCCAAAGACTGGAAAGCAACCTCGACCCCTCATCAACATACCAAATTCCTGCGAGGGCCTTGATCTTTTATATTAATCCTCATTATAGTACGGGGGGAGGTTCTTCATGAGGGGCCTAGGTTGTCGCCCAGGCACCGAGGCCCTTCGGGAATTTCCCAGTGAGGCCTGGATCATTCACAGCCCACGGCTTAGGGCCTTTAGGGCTCCGAAAGCTTCGGCTTGAGGCCCTGAAGAGCCTGGGCTCTTTCCGCTCTTCGTCTTTGGGGCCTCGGGGTTTTTGTTCGATTCTCAGGCTCCGAGGACTTCGGTGCTTCAGAGCGGGGCCCAAAGTTGGCTCTGTTCCAGGACATGATAGGCTGTTTGCCTGCCCTTGGAGTCGGAGAGACAGGAAGACACGTGTGAAGACCTGGCAAGATGCGAAGCTTTGTAATCGAATTCGTCGCAAGCCGTATTCACACGGTTGCCTCACTGTTCAGCGTGACAAGGGGCCGGGAAAGCCCAGGCACGTCTTGGGACTCTACCCGAGAGCCCACGCTCCCAAACTCCAATCCTCACATCATGCTGAAGACTTTGGAGTAAGGCCAGCACTGATGACAATCGAGTAGATGCAGGCGCCGGTCACTGCGAAGTAGATGGCCGTACTGGCCAAGCCTCGCTGTGTTGGGGGTGAAAGCCTTTTTATGGAGATCTCTACTGCCTGTGGCCACGCAGAGAACATCCAGAGTTGAACGCTGACAATGGTAATTTTGGCTGGCATGCTAAGTTGGCTAATTCAATAGGCCACTGAGTGAGCCCTAATGAAGGAAGTGCTACTTGCAGCGTAGGATCCGTGCTGCACGAAATTAAAAAGCTTGGCTGTCAAAGTGTACGCAGAAAGGTACAAATGTTGGGCCAAGGAGCTGTTTATGCAAGACACTGCAAGCCACAAGTGAACCACAAGAACCCATACCTCGGCCTTGTCTTGCCATGGCCTAGTCCCAAGTAGGCCAGGACACCGATGACTTCCAGAGGCAAAGGGGTGTTGAAGAGGACGGCGCTGCCCTGCGGGTCGCGGTCCGGATTCAGGCTTTTAGGGCGTGCAGGCTGTCGGGTCTTAGGTAGACCTGTAGCCTGATAACTGAAACAACAAACCCAAGCAGTGGGAGGAGGTTGAACTGTCCAAGCCTCGACTAGACAGCCCAAGAAGTGTGGGCACTGCACTTTTTACAGGGAGGAAGAGAGAGAGAGAGAGAGGGAGAGAACTAGAAGGAGAGGGTGTCTGGTCATCCTGATGCGTGGCCTGTATCAGTCCACCGACGAGGCTCATGAAGACCAGGAAGATGTCCTAAGGTATCCTATTGCAGCAAGCACCCATCGTGCAAACTTGCAGCCGTGATTGTCTTCCGGACATTGTGCCCCAGAATCCCTGGTCCTTCAACCGAAGCAACACCTGCAACCTACACTGCTGTGATCTCTCTCTGCTATGAAGAACCGATGAACTCAGGCCCTCGCGAGCGTGATCGCCTCGCGATAGCAAGAAGGGTTCAGCAAGGGAGGAGCCATGTTCATGGCACCACCACAAAGAAGCCATGCCCCGATGTGGCTTTCCGAGCTGTGTGCAGTCCTATCTTCACCTAGTGAGCTAGCTCGAAGCCGCATTCCAGGCACACGGCTCTTATACTACGATAGACTATAATCTACCATAATATGCTGCAACATACCTTAATATCCTGTACTTCAGGACTAAAAAGCCCGCAAAGCGAAGGGCCAGTCCGGGCCCAGCCTGGCGAAGGTTGTAGCGGAGCAGTGCGGGAAGGTCCCGATTCGTGGCCAAAGCCTCCAAGGAGTTGAGCTTGGCTCCAATTGGGTTCCTTTCAGAACTGTAAACTGCCTATGTAGAAGGTTCTGAGACTAAGTTTCACAAGGATGTAGGCGCATTTAGGCTCGGAGTTTAGGGGTTGATTGGCGGCTCTCGTCGTGCTAAGAAGTTGAACATCGTACGAACTTCGGATGAGCGCGGTCAGAGTGCAGCGGCCTGCCTGCATGCTCAAAAAGAGGATCAAGTAGCCTCCGGCAGTGACATGAATAGCAACAGCTAGAATTCGAGGTTGCGAGGCCTTTCCCTGACGTCTCGGACTGTTAAGGCCGGCTCTGTACAAGGGGACGGTTGAGCAAACCTATGCCAGGATGTGTCTGGAACAGCTTCGGAAAGTCCAAGTCTGAAAGAAATCCGTGTTGTGGGTGCAACGACAACGGAACTGCTATGGCCAATCGCAAGGGCACCAGCCGAAAGACGGCCCGACTAAACTCAGAAGGTATCGCCGCAAAAGCTCGGAGCTCCGAAATAAGCAACAAATCCTTGACATGGTCAAAACTATGAGCATCGGCTCGTGGCAACTTCCATCATAATGATGCCCAGGAACTTGCTACAAGTATCTACAGTGCTGCATGAAAGTGACAAGCTCTGTTATATCAGGTCGTCCATCACTTGCGCAAGACCTCCTCGGCCCGCCTGCAATGGGAACGTACGCCGTAAGCCCTTCTTATCTGATGACCAGAAATAAGGCAGGTGCTTCACCCCGGATGCAGTAATCGAGGGGCCTGAATAATTAGAATAAGGCAGTGGGCATATTGATAAATTGCCATGGACATCCACAAGCGGTTGATAAAGGAAGATCATTCCGACCCCCAGAAGGGCTTAGACTTGCAACAGGACCTTTAGAGCCAGCCCATCGCTCAAGCCCGTGCCGGAGAAGCCTAGGCCAAACGGCAGTGCGTTAACGAGGACGACAGGAACCACCTGGCTTGTTGAGGCAGCGACTGAGGATGTTGCAAGCGAGCTTTCGTTGTCATGCTGATTCGGGTCCTACATTGGCTGCTGATCTCTTCCTGAGTAATTCCTTCCACCTCCGAATCTTCTGGCACTTTCATGCATACATCGGAGGGCGCAGAAGAAGCTAGTCTCACTGAAGTCCGGGCTTTTGGGATCGAGGCATATCAAAACCTGGCCGGGCAACAACGCAATCTTTAAATTACAACCGTATATGTAACACAAATAGTCGTATATTCTTACGGTTATGTTTCTGTGACAGCAAAGTCTGCCAAGGCCACCAGGAAGTCCAGCAGTGGCTGGATCTCGGGGAACGCGGCAAAGAGGAACATTCCTGGAATCCGATGCTATGTGGGAGTTTCTCAAAGCAGGGGGTACCTTATTTTGGGGTCCTTATACTAAGGATCCTACTATTTAGGGTCCCCTATTTTCGAAAACCCTCATGTTGTGAAATCGCTCAAAGCAAGCCGCACTGCCTTCCGTTGCCGTTCCGTCTTCCTTCCCTCGTTGGATTCTAGATCCCACCTGAAAGGCGCCGATCTTGAAGCTCAAAAGCTGTGTTCCAGCAAGACCGGAGCTAGTGAGCCAGTGGTCCTTGTCCCAGCTGCAAGTCACGCCACGCCTGCAGCCTCTCTCCGTGCCCCCACCACCCCAACCCAAACGTCCGACACGTTTCGCCAAGTCTCCGAAGCGCAGCGCATCGGTCAAGGGCAGTGCGTAGGCGAGGAGCGAACCGATCCGAGTCAGAAGACCGGTGTCCTCATGTGAAGCACTCCAGGCTTGATGGGCTCGGCTTGATAGGCGACTAGGAGAAAGTCCTTTACAGTTTCATCCGTTGCCCTTCATTCTGATCACAAGATCCGGAGCCTTGTGCAATTGCTTTGCTTGGCCGGGGTCTTGGAGGGGCAGACAGTGTTTCAGACTGGCGGTTCATGGCTTTTGGAATTGGCCGTTTGCAGTGATGGTTTCTTGGAGCGCCGAATGTAGTCACGGTCGGCCCGTTTGGATAGCACGGATACATAGAGACTAAGCAAGCTGGCTTGCGAGTTTTGCGCAAGCATTCTGGCGTGCTTGCTTAGATTCTAGATCACGGTCCAGCACGCACCTTGGATCCTGTGCTCTTCCTGCCAGTTTACTTTCACCACAAGGTAGTTAATCAAATCATGTGTAACTGTGTAACTGAACCTCAACGCCGGTCCTCGTTGCGCGCCGGTCGGTTTGCCAAGAACTCATCCCACTCTTTTCCTGGGCAGAAGCTTCCAGTAGTCCAGGGTTTGTGCGCTCCCTCGTTGAGGTATTGCTGCGCAAACGAGATCATGTGCGGCAATACAGGCTGTAGCGAGACCTGCAGCATGCTAGGAGAATCCTGCTGATGCTAGCAGCTGACAGAAGGTTAACAACTATCGATATGTAATGATATGCAAGTTACAACTACAGCAGCCACTGCTGCTACTGCCATCGCTACGGCCTCTGCTGCTGCGGCTGCTGCTGCTACTAGTCCTCCTGCAGCTGCTACTCCTACTCGTACTACTACTACTACTACTCCTCCTCCTCCTCCTGCTGCTGCTGCTGCTGCTGCTACCACTACCACTCCCCAACTGCCATCGGTACTTCCAAACTTGTAACAGCAAAAGCAGCCTTCCATCATCTGCAAGTTTCACCTTGTCTATGCGGTTTCATTGAGCTGCGAGGCTTCGCTGCGTCCCTATCAGCCATTGCTCTTCTCTTCTCGCTGCTGTTGGGACACCGACTGTGTGCTGTCTGCCACTCCCATCCCGCCTCGCGTTGATTGCTTTCCAAGTTTCGGAGGAGCTCCTCCTCCGTGGACGCATAGGCTGCCGTGCGCTCGGCCTCCTCCTGCGTTGTTATCTGATGCATGCGGCAAATGGGTCTTCATCGGCATAGCCCTCGAAGCTTAGTGGTCCTTTGCCTAGCAGTTACGGCAACCTTCCCATGTCTTAAGAGCCAAAACTTGCGTAAATGCCAAGCAAGATCCCTCCTTCGTCTGCATCTCTTTGCGGAACCTGCAACCACTGTTAGGACATGCGTAGAAGGCACAGCTACAAGTACGGCGGGAGCTTGGCGTGAAATGCGAGCCCTGAGCATGAAGAGTTGCGAGGATTAATCTGACTGAGCTCAAAACTCCTGGACTTTGGACTCACATGTCCGTTGTGTTTCAGTTTGGAAGGTGACCCAGGAACGGTCGTTTCATGGACGAGCTCTTGCCAAACCCTGAGCTGCCAAGTAGCTCTCTGAGAAGCGTCTGGACGGCCGTGAAGTCAAGCTCCTGCCGTAAGGTGTAGCATTGGGCATTCGCGCTCGGCTCCAGATAGCAACTTAAGGCTCACGTCATGCCGCTGTGCAAATTTCCGGGTCACGCCCGGCTCCACTCGAACAGGGGATGCGTACCGAAGCACAGCTTCGTGGATGCAGCGCAATGCGCAGTCGTGGTGTCACGAATGAAGGAGCCAAAGCAGAAGTCAACATCCACTGAACACAGCGATCTTTATTTAATCAAGGGTACGGCATGGAGCTCGGGTTACTCAAACAAATAGTCCAACATACACGTCATATTTTTTGCTTGGCTTCTGCCATGCTTCGATTGCGAGTAATGGGAATCTGCAGGTTTACTAGTAGCTTACACGAAGGGATGCTCTATCAAAGCCAAGATTGCCATTTCTGCTTCCCGAACTCAGTCTTCCCAAGCCTTTTGTTTCTCGGCCTGTCGAACGTGAAACCGGCGGCGTCCTATTTAGTTCATGCGATTGAACCCTTGCCCCACAGGCACCTCTGGCTGGATGATGCCATCGCCTTGAAAAAAAGTCAGGGACACATATTGCAAAAACTGACGTCTAGTTCATACCACCTTGTAAGATGTGCGAGTGCTCTAAATGGTTTTACTGACGACTTGTCTTCAAGCGATGCTAACAAGCTGGACTCCAACACGACTCATCGCGCGGAACTGAAGCCCCACGTGCCCGATGCACGCAACGAGCAACCGACAGAAGACGCTGACCACATAGATCCCAGGTTCTAGATGTTCAGCTACTGCATGCTACTGCAACAACATGTCAACTTCCCAGTTAAACAGCTGCTGTTGAGCTTCCCGTACGTGTATGGTTGCTCGCTTGACACGCGAAGGTGTCCACTTCTTGCTAAGATTCTGCTGATGACCTTGCTCCCTGACTTGCTAATTGGGGTGTCCGAGGGGCCGTTCAAGTCAAGGGCCGTCACCAACCGCTCGGCTTGCTCGTCCGTGACATCGCTGCCTCGTGACCGTTGAGTTGAGAGTATTTCACACTGGCTGTTCTAACGCACACTTGCAAAAATGCCACTCTGCCTGGGGCTTGTCTGTGATTCAACACTCAGTACTGGCTGGGCGGGCAAACTTACCAGGTGTTGTTATGCGACTTGTGCATCAAGTGACGACAACAATCGCAGAGCAAACAACTATCAAGTGCTACCGATGACTGCAAGACGAGGATGATGCCGTACAGCAAGAATCACTAAGGAACCACGACCCACCTACGACAAGACAAGAGAGCAAACAGACGCATCCTGGACAACAAGACATATTCCCCGAAACTGTCTGCTTCCAGGCCGCCCATCACATCTTTTACGCCTTTCTGCAGCTCCTGCAGTCCGGATGGTGGTTCGATGAGTAGTTGGCAGATCCTCCACTTTTCGGAATTGGGGCTGCCTCGAAGCCTGTCGGCCCTTTGAACAAGGGTGCCTAACTCAAAGCCCAATCGGCTCCTTGGCATCGAGCGCCCCGGAGCTGTCGGTGTCCAGAATCTTGAAAAGCGCCTCGGGCTGGACATGCCAATGCCAACACGTTTCACAGAGGCATTTGTCGCAGAGTTTGGCGACATGTCCTTGTGCTGGATCGGTGTTCTTGCTGCAGCCGAGATATCACAACGCCTGAACTGGTCTTACTGTGGAACGCTCATGCCCGTGCCTGCCGTTCCTTCCGTCGCAGCTCCTCCTGCACGGGGAGGCGTTCGATTCACTGTGCAGACTTGAAGTCCCTTCGGGCAGGGTGTGGTGCAAGAAGTCGTCCAACAGGGGGCTCCATCTTCTCCAGCATCTCGGCTTTCTGCTATGAAGCAACGCTGACTTGGACTTATACTGCGCTTTCGGGAGAGGGAGATCCCAAATCTCGATGTCCCTCAGACTTAGTAACCAGTAGCAGTCGTCGTCGTCGACGTCGTCGTAGCACAAGTAGTACTCGGAATTGGTAATGGTGCAGTGTCTGATGAAGTTGTAATGGCAGCAGCACACAGAGTTGCCTGGAAAGCATCGACACAACAAGTGCACAGATTGAAATCATGAGCACGTGCCTGCTGCAGAAGGTATACATACTTTGCTGCATTGGTGGAAAGTTACGACATGCTATGACAAGCTTCCAACCATTCAATACAGGTTTCGCCGGGTGGACATTTCCATGAACTGGGGGTCGCGACTGAGTCGACTGGCCCCCATGAACAGGATAGGCCAAGACGACAGGCAGACTAATATACCACAGAAATACCAGAAACGCAAAACAAACTAGACACCAACTAGGGCTTGTATCGCTTTATGTCCTCATGGCTACTGCTGCTGTTGCCGTTGTGGCTGCTGTTGTTCATTTTCTTCTTCTCCCTACTCTCCTCTGACTGCATCCCGGTAGATAGCAATAAGAGCAAGGTAAGCAGCACAGAACAGACATAGTGATTAAAGGAATGTCGATGCTAGGAGTTACTAGGCATGCCAATTCTTGGCTGTTGCTACCGGAGACACTACAACTCCACCACCCCAAAAAGCAGAAACCTTGAACAGTGCTGTTGTTGACCCTTTGCCATTCCCTGGCCCGAAGACGATGCCTGCTCTGCCTCCAACTCCGCCGCTTCTGCACGGAGTTTTGCAGCCTCCGCACGTTGGCGTTGGCGGGCTCTTTGATTGCTTGGTGAGCGTTGTGGGAAAATGTTTAAGTTTAGTCAAGGCTAGAGGGAGGGTTCGCAGAGCTTGCTCCTCACATTTGGATGTGCCTAAACGGTTGAGACAACTGATCAGCCTAGCTGTCCCTCTCGTTCTACTTTCAGTGATGGCTGTTCTTGCTCCTGTCGACGTGTTTGCAACGCCGCGACCATCAGTGGCCTCCTTGGCAAGTGCCTCAGCATCTTCAGATTCCACGCCGACCTGAGACAAAATGCAAGATGCGTCAGGACAATTTTATAATATGTCTTACCTAGCAACTGTCTTCGCACAACGGCTTCAAACGGATCTCTGGTCGACGCCCACTGCAGCTGGAAACTATAAGCTCGGCCTATCTCGGCTTAATATCCGATCGGAAGACAAGGCCGTGCACACCCGACAACCCGAGACATACGTGCGGCAGAATGTGTCTTGAATTGCTGCACACTTGCTGACCACGTTTTCCCCCGGAGTCACGAACGTTAAGCCCATCATGACGACCAGGAGAGGGTGATTGCACGAGCTGAAAACCCGAGAGTTTGAAGCCTTCTAGCGAGTACTGCAACACAGAGCTTCGTGCTCGAAGCTCCGACCGAATAACTCTGCAGGCGACACGTCCCTCGGGCCCCAGCCACAGTGGCTCCTGTCAACGGAGTTTGGGCTTTCGTCGGATTGTCGGTCTTCCGGTTCTCTGTTTTGGGCCGCAGCGCTCGGATTGCTGGAGCTCCAGGTGTAGGACAAACGGGAGGGCTGATAGTCGGAGTAACTCCTTGTTTTGCACACTCGCTCCATCTTTGGCTGAATTCTTGCAGAACTACTCGCCAAGGGCATGGAACTTCTCACGCTGCCATGCGGGCCTTTCTCCGCACGTCGGGCCACCGAGGTGCCGCGATGTGCTCGGCGCAGGGCCGCGGCCGCCAGGAGCACGGCGGAAGTCTGCAGACCTTCTGATGACCATAAACTACAACAGTCTCTGCCTTGATGGCCTGCGCTTAGCCAGTGGGTTCAGGCGCCTTCTGGACAGTCGGATAAAGTGGCAAAAACACAGCTGCAACAGGTCTAGTGGCAGCTCGAAGATCAATGAAGTTTGGTGTTGGTGGGTCTAGCAAGGTCTATAGTGCATGCCATCTTCTATCCCTTTTCATAATTCGAAGGGGCTGGCGAGGATTCGGTCCTGTGTCTTGCACATACAGGAAACGAACCAAACGGGGCTTCGTCGCAGCGGCTTTATGATTTCGCTTCGGGAATTTTCAATGCTGCTTGTACCAGGCTTCATTTTCAAACTTGACCTAAACACTAAAGGCGAGGAATGGTTCAAAGGTCTTTCCTGGAGTGCTTTTTTTCCAGACTCCAGGTCCCTGCAGCGCGAATTTTTCGTGGGTTAAGTTGCCAAGGCATCTCAGGCTCGCTGAAGTTTGGGGGTTGGGCCATGCGCTCTTGCAGGCCTCCGAACTTCTTTCTATAAGCCCCTCAGAGCCTCAGACCCATGCCCCCAAAACAGAAACATCATCTACATTAACCCCTTGGGTTTAGATTCTAACAAAATGAAAACATCTAACAACATCAAAACACGGAACACACCCGTCTTTTCCCAGGGTCCATCAATACCTGCGCTCGCGCTCTGTACTGCGAGCTGGATCGGTGGCTGAAAGGAGGACTGCAAAACAGTTACAGTAGCTCTGTTTTGACGTTCACTGTAAGGGCTCTAAAGGGTTTAGGCTATAGCGCCTTAATAATTGGAACGGGGTTTTGGGGTATACTATCCGATAACTGGTAACATACTGTAACACACTGATGGCTATAGCCAGGGAATAACATTGGTGATTGTTGCGGCCTCTCTATTCTGTGCGGCTTTGCACCTAAACTAAATCGTAAGCCACTCATATAATAGCCCCCAGGCCAAACCCAAAGACATGAGGGTCAATGTAGGGCAATATAGAGGGGGTACTGCTAGGGTTACACTATGAGGACATATATCGCGGGAACCTAGATGATGCTGCCGGCCAAACACCTAGTTCCAAGAACCTGCCTCCCGATCGGCTGTCGCCGTGCGCTGCAGTGTGTTGCGGCGCAGCGCGGAGTGATGCAGGGGCCGTCGCCATGCCTCCGACTTTTTAGCGCTCAGGTGGGCGGGGGGGGGGGAGGGGTTTGGTCGTCATCTATGTCAACCGTACTCTTACACGAGGCACAACACAGCCCCTACTTGGCCCAAATCAAAGCATCAGAAGCCCAAACCTGCAAAAGATTGCAAAAGCCCAAAGCAGCAAATGCGGGATCAAGGCCTGGGGCCGACCTTGGCACCACGAACGCATCGGAGGTGAGGGACCTGAGCTGCCCCATGCTGAATTGTTTCACATACAGGCTTGTGCTCTGGGGTTTAGGGCTTTTGCGGGTTGGAGGCACGTCTGAAGCCTAGCGCTTGATAGGCTTTGAGGTTGCGGTAGCATCAATGGAGGTGTGTGGCGCGGTTGCTTGGGCTCTACTCTGCACGAAAATGCAACCTGGCATTCCAGGCGTCGACCCTAAGGCTCACTATGTCCTCTTGCAGGCTTCACATCGAAAGACCGCCAAAAGCGGCCTTGATGCGCTCTGCGTGCTGGCTTAATCACCGGCCTGACTCAAATGCGCATATACGTACTTAAGTGTGTGTACAGGTACATCTACAGACACTTATGCAAGCACGCATGCATGCGGAGGTGTACACATGAGGGGCAAGAGTATAGAGCAGACGGCGGTGGCTGCAGCTTCTGGTTTCGGTTCTGCTATTTCAGTTTCTAAGCGTCGACTAACCTTCACGTGCTGCGATTGGAACAACAATCGCTTCAGCGTGCACACGTACTACTTGCCCCGTGCACCAAAGTTGGCTCCCCTAGCATCCGGCTTGCCTTCGGCTCATGCACTGGATACCGCGTCTCGGGTTCTTACTTAGATTTCACTTCGTGATGCTGGGGATGGGAGGCGCGTGCTCAATGCAACAAAAAACAGGATCCTGACAAGGCACATGGCTGCGGGTCTCTGAAGAGCTTCCACAACACTTGAGGCTGAGAGAAGGTCTGCAGCAAAGGAAAGACAGCACAGAACAGCAGCAGCCATCATAAAGGAAGCGGATTCAGAATTGCATCACAAGCGCTGCCAAACCATGAAGTTCATAATCTATGAATCAACTTCAGCTGCGGACTCTGCGACTATCTGCAGGTACAAGGACGCGGCTAGGCAGCTTCTTTACCACTTGCTCTGAAGTTGCTCTCCCAATGCGGAACCATGACCACCACAAATCAACTTCGTTCGCGCATGCTTTTTCGAAGATCCGCGCTCATCACAGTCTAAGTCATTCATCTTCTGACTTCGGCTGGGCGGCAGCCAACAGCAAGACTTATCAAGATTGTAGATCTGATAGCCGCATGCATCCCTGCAGCAGTTTCTGCAAGGAGGCTTCGAAACGGAGTGGAGAGGCCTGCATCTTTGTGAGAAGGCCGAGTCGACTTGGGAAGACTGCGCCCCTGCGGGTATTGAGGGCATGAGCGCAATTTGCCGACTGCTTCTTGCACATGGCAGTGTATGTACACTGCCACATAAGTAGAAATTCCTAGCTAAAAACGTTCTTTCCAGGCAACACTCCTGAGGAAGACGTCGAAAAGTGTGCCTGCTGTGCAATGTGCCAGTTGAGATGACCAGTCCTCTGAGAAGTGAACGGCTTGTGATGTGAATCTATGGCCGAGGTTGAAGGAACGTCTCAATGTCTACATCCTGTAGTGGCTTGCTTCAACGTTTTCATGCAAGCTGGTAAGTCATGAGATAGCTGTGTACAAAGTTGATAACAACTCAGCGACGGCAACCCTGAAATCAAAACGATGCTTGTCGCCACATCTTCCCCAGGACTCTAAATGCGTTTGAGGATGGGGGTTTGAGCAACGGGTGGTTGTGGGTAGTTGGAAAGGCTACAGAATTTCGGGAAGCATCTTGTCTACCTCGGCGTCCACGACTTGTACCCAAACGCAGCCACCTACTATTGACCATTGAGCTCTCCTGATATTACTGCTAATTATAGTATAATAACAACAGTAATGTTTCATGATGGCAATACTAATCAGACGAACAAGAACAGTAATAACAAGTAGGAATAATCGTAACAAGCACTGAGCACTCAGTGGACTGACCCAGCACGTGCAATTCAACTGCAAGGCCTTCCCCAGCTGGAACCACTCGGCTTACCAGGATGGTTTAGGGTTTAGGGTAAGCCCTAAACCCTCCCAGGCCCAAGGCGTCAGTAAAGGATAGGAAGCTTGAGGCAGTGTCTCTATCATCTGTGCGCGCCGGAAACTTTGCTACCTATTCAGGCTACTGAACCGTGTCTCCTTCTCGATATGCCAAAGGGCCTAGGTTTGGGGCTGCAGGGCAGCGATCGCGTTACAGGCTACAAATTGCCACTGAAGGCCTGCAGCAGAATCGCATCGACTGTAATGAATTGTATACCCAGGCGGGCCATGCATCAGAGGCAGCGCTGCCACAAGAGTGGCCTCAAGTTGCTGCCATGTTGTCAGATGCGGCCCAATCCTCGCCAGACTCTTTGCTGTGCACAGCCCATGGGTTCACAAACCACGCCGGCGACAGAGGCGGCCACAGGGACTCGTGACCAGAATGTAGTATATTATGGTATATGCTATGGTATATTGTGGTATGTTATGGCACATTCTAGTAGATTATATGGAATATTATAGTCTACAGTCTATAGTCATTAACATTAGAGCGTAGTGTTGCAACAAGACCGAAGTATTCAGCGCGAAAGCATGAGCAAAAACACGCGCATCTGGGGTCCCCGTAGGCTGCCCTGTCTTTGCCCATGACCCAATGGGAATCCTCACAGCTCTGCCCGCAGGAGCCGGCGCAGCTTCTCGAAGCCCAGCCAGAGGCCGTCCTAAGGTCCAGGATGTGGTGGTTTGGGCTTTAGGACGGAGTGTCAGGGTCAGAGTTCAGGTGAAGTTCCAGGGTATGGTCTAGAAGAGTTTGTCATTCGTCTCTGAAGCAGAGGTGCACGCATCAGAGCTCAGTTTACCTGATATGCCGCAAAGTTCAGTAACCTGGTATCTTCAAGACGACGATGCCCAGCAGAATGCAACACATGATAGTATTCGCATGCACGGAATATCCACCAGAAGCGATGGGCTGTGGTTTCATCTCGGCAGCTGATATTGTCTGGCTTCGTCTTGTTGCCTGGCTTTCGATCTCTGCTGCTCGGATTTGAGGCACGGCCGCGGCTTGCTTGCCGTTCATAGTGATTGGCAAGCGAATGTGAAGCTAGCACTTCACACGTGCATGAAACTGCCATCAGCACATGCAGGATGCAAGCTTCCTGTCGCCGAATCTCACCAAGAAGTTGCGTAAAACTTGTGCCAGGGAGTGGCACCAAGAAGCGTTACCGACGATTTCTGGAAGTAGCACTGCTCTTTGAGCAGGGGCGAAGGGTCGAGGGGACTCTCGTAGCCTTTGCTGGACCAAGCGTCACGATCGATGTAGCATCCTGGCCAAGACGACATGCCCAAACCATTCTCACATGTTCTTGTGTCTGGTGCATGCGCCTACATTTACAGGGCCAACATCCAGACTTCTTCAGAGCTGAAGCTTGTAGAACCACTGTCGCACAGAATGTGCCTTGCACCCAGCGCTCTCCGTCGCTTGGAAGAATGTGGGATCGCGCCTGGCTCACGTGGACGCAGGGAGTTTGAGGCTTGGAGTACTTTTTGGAGCCGTGGGCTCTAGACCCTATGATGAGGTCTAGCTTTCAGGTGTATACTAGCTGCTGGAACAGTCAGCTAAATTTGCTCATCATTAGCCTGGACATCTGAAAATTGCCGAAACCGTCGTGGAACACCATGCAGACACCTGCTGCCTTAGGGTTTGCGTGCATAAGATGCAATTCGTACTACGCGGGATGCCCAAAGAATCGTGGAACTCTGCAGGCACGTGGAGGACTAGGTTTTTGGGTTTGCCGGTAGAAGTTAAACATGCGACTGGTAACACGAGTTTAGTGCAGTCATGGTTTGAGCAAGATTTCGGGTGCCTACATTGATCGGGCAGTCTACAAGGCTTCTGCCCGAAGTACGGCCTGAACGGAAGCAACCACTCTTCAAATCCTTGCCGAAGTTCCCCAGCTGTTGGGTCGACGGAACCTTAAGCCCGAAGCCTGCAACCCTCAGAAATCCCTCAAAGTCTGCCAGGATGCATGGAGCACCCGTCGGTTGTCGAAGACCTCGACCCCCCCGGCCCACCTTCCCCTTCAACGAGCAATGAGTGGTCAAGCGGCGAGGAGGCAGCGACCAAGACGCTCGTCCGCTAGGCAGTGCCCAGCACAATCATACTCATAATTTCCAGACAGAGGTGATCGAACTGCTTGAGTGTCTCAGCTTTACTGCCAAGGGGCGAGTATGTCGCCAGGCTGAAACTGCATGCTCACTGCAAACCTGGCTCGGCATGTCGAGGATTGCGCAAGTAAACGTCTGAGCTCAATCTTATCATCCGGGGCTTCGGAGTACAAGCCTGCGGACAAGAGGGAAGCTCGGCTTCGGGACTAACCCCCGCGATCCACTCTCGGCTCCCCCAATAAACTGATATTTTTGTCGCGCTAGAGTTGCTGGCTTCCTCGGTGCGGGTTGTGGAGTTGCAATCTGCAGACATCTGGCGGTGGTGAGTGTGCAGGCATGCAGGCATGGCCGAAACAGGACTACGAATCTAGAGGAACGGGTGGGAAAGGACCAGACCTACATGGACGGGCAGGAAGAAGAATGCAACATCCTGACATTCGAAGTCCATCAGCCCTTTGCTCTCTTAGGGTCCCTGGATGGCAACAGCTCGCCTGGGCTCGTGCATCAGCTCGGAGAAGCGACGACGAGCCTTGCTGTGCAGCAGTTTAGTGGTTGGCTTACCCCGGGCTCCTGAGAATCAACCCGAGATCCATCTTGAACATTCCTGCAGCCCTGTTTTGGAGCCGGCAACAAGCTGAAGCCAGAAGAAAGTGGAACATCGTTATCCTGGTACCCTTGAGGTAAAGTAGAAGGGATCCTAGCACTAATCATC